AAGAAAGATACCAGGAACCGAGAAATCGGAACGGGGAACCGCGGGAACCTTGGAACAGGGAACTGGGAACCTAGAACCGAGAATCGGGATCTGGGAACCCAGAACCGAGAACCGCGGGAACCAGGGATCCAGAACCCGGGAATCGGGAGCTGGGACCCGGGAACCGCGGGAACCAGGAATCCAGAACCGAGGAGCTGGGAGCCGGGAACCGCGAGAATCGCGGACCGAGAACCCAGGAATTGCAAACCTGGAACCCATGGAACAGGGAACCGGGAGCCTGGAACCGGGAACCTGACACTTGGAACCGGGAACCGGATTTGTGAACCAGGAACCGGGAACCAAGAACCGGGAATCCAGAACCTGGGAGCTGGGAGCCGGGAATTGGGAACCAGGAGCCGGGAATTCGTCGATTAGAAAACTTTATTTCTCCGTTTATTTATGCGGGAGGAGGGACAGGAGGAGGAAGGAGGGAGGCGGAGGAAGGAGGAGTAGAATAGAGAGGTTGGCGATGAGGGAGGAGTTGGGGGGAGGAGGCAAATGACGGCATGGGGGAGGAGGAGGAGGAGGAGGGGGAGGAGGGGGAGGAGGAGGAGGAGAGAGGAGGAGGAGAGGAGGAGGAGGAGGGAGGAGGAGGGAGGAGGGAGGAGGGAGGAGGGAGGAGGGAGGAGGAGGAGGAAGAAGGAGGAGGAGGGAAGATGGAGGAGGAAGGGAGGGAGGGAGGGAGAGAGGGAGGGAGGGAAGAGGGAGGAACGGAGGAACGGATGAGGAGGAGGAGGAAGAGGAGGAGGAGGAAGAAGAAGAAGAAGAGGAGGAGGTGGAGGAGGGAGGGGGGGAGGGAGCGAGGGAGGGAGGAGAGGAGGAGAGGGGGTGTGAGGAGGGAGGACGGGGAATGATGCAGGTGGGAGGATGAAGGGAGGAGGCGAAGGGGGAAGGGATGCAGGGAGGGGGCATGAGAGAGGAGAAATGACAAACTAGGTGCGCTGGCGCCACATCTGACATCCTGCGCCCTCCCTCCCGTCACTTCCCACGGCGTTGATTTCTTTTCTATTTGCCGAGTGCAATGCCACATCGCAAGCAGTGGCTGGAGCTCCCTCTCTTCATCCCGCTGCGCTGTCATGCGAGTCGGCCACCGCGTTCGGGCGGGCGTCTGGGTAATGGGACCTCCTGCCCAAAAGTCATCGCAGACCCCACCGGGAATTCCTCTGACCTCCTCAATGTGTCATGTGCATCCTTGTACAGGTGTCCCTGCCTCCCAGCATTTCCGCTCATTTTGACTGCGTCCCCCTGGGCGCGCTTTGCGTCGGGCTTGTTGTTCCATTCAGGGCCACAGGCCTCCAAGAACTATCCAGCTTCCCGCAGCAAGTCCCGCCACCGTGCCAGCCCATCATTCTGGATGACGACTGGTCGAGTGGTTACGGGAGGCCGTCACGTGCGACACCTCGTGTCTTTAGGTTTGAGAGAGCCATAATTAGGATGATAAGGATGCTGCTGCTGGTGCTGATAATGATGATGCTGATGCTGATGATGATGATGATGATGATGATGATGATGATGATGGTGATGGTGATGGTGATGGTGACGGTGATGGTGATGGTGATGGTGATGATGATGATGATGGTGATGATGATGATGATGATGATGGTGGTGTTGCTAATTATGGTTATTATGGTGATGATGACTTGGTTGAGGAGAATGATGATGGTGATGATGACGACGATGCTGATGATGGTGATGATGGTGATGGTGATGATGGTGATGATGCTGATGATGCTAAACGATGTCGATGATGAAGCCGATGACGACGATGATGCTGATGATGATGCTGATGATAATGATGCTGCTGACGCTGGTGATGATGGTGATGATGATGCTGATGCTGATCATCATTTGGATGAGGATG